CTAACTGCCCTGGTCAGCTTAAAGGGAGAAAGTAGCAAACTCATCCCCTTGAATATTGGCTCAGGTGTTTCTGTGTGACTCACGAAGAGTACCTCTTTTTTCCTACAGCTCCAGGACCGAGACATCTCCAAACCAAAGACAGGGAGAGTTCAATAGTCTGAGGCCTTGTGAGTCCAAAGCTAGCTAGACAGGCTGTTTTCCTCTCCCTGACTGGGTACAGTTTGGGAAAGAGCAGAAAGCCCTGCCTTAGGAAAAGGATCTACACAGAGCTCACTCCAGCTGCTTCAGAAGCCGGTTACCACTGTCCAAGTTGCTCTGCTGAGTGAAGCCATTCACCTCCTTTCCTCTTGGCTCTTCCCTGCCTCTGTGCCTCAGCATGGCTAGGGGACACAGTACCAGTGAAACTATCAAGGAAGTGGCTCATGCTTCAGAAAATTATAACTCTGCCAACATGCATTGGTAAAACCCGAGCAAATAGGTGGACAAATTTCTGAGAGAGCCTGACCAAGAAAGGAGGGCATGACTCCAGTCAAGGTGAGCCTGTTGATACAGGTGCAGCTATTCATTCTGCAGCCAGGTTTCCAGCTTTGACTGCCAGAATGCACCCAGCAGGTGGTCTCTGAAACTTTGGCCTAAGAGTGGTCCAACGAAATGAAACTGGAAAGCCAAAAATCCCTGAAGGAACCCAAATATCTAAAGTGATACAGAGTTGGTGTGGATTGATCAAGAGTAACCTGCTCATCATTCAGTGGCAAGCAGAAACACCAAAATGACACCCAGGATTTGGAGGCAGAATTATTTATGGGATCATTCCCTGAATACCAGGGCCCAATCTCTGGTGGACTAGGGCTTTCATATGATGCACAAGCAGAAGTTACAAAGGAGGCACAAAGGTGAGACGGAACAGCCTGGCAGTTCTTCTGATCAGCTAGCAGGGTGAGATCATGGGTTATAAGGGTAAATTAATAATTATCAGTTCATGAAGCTTGGTACAATGGTACACTCAGGCATCCTATATGTTCGGTTATGCTTTCATTGTTACAGGGGTCAAGAAAGTAATTACAAAGCCTGAAGAAGTTACAGAGCTAGGCAGTTTCAAAAGAAGAGTTTTAAAAAGAACAACTTCTCTTGTACAATTTTTACCTTTCAGTTATACTCTAAATGTATCCGCAGGGGAGCCAAAAAAGACAAGCCAACCCCAAGGCATTGAGAAATACTTCAGCAAGGTGAATGCCAACAGCTTTGAAAGCTGCCATAGATGTTGCTCTCAGTCAGCTGGAGACCTAGCCAAAGGTGGAAATGTTATAGGTAGGAATGTAGAGTAGACATGATTAGATGAGAGTAGTATTCAAGTGCCAGAGGCCAAAAATGTACTGGAGCTGGGCACCTGGGACACTGGTGAGTCACTGTAGGGCCACTGCACTGGAACTGATAGGCATTGCCAGTGGAACCAGATGTGACACATATAATCTTGATTACACTATTTAAAAAGCACTTAAAACTAGGTCTGGTAGACAGTCTCCATGGGTGGCTTAGAAAATGCCTGCTACATAGTAGGAGTTCAGTAAATATTTGTTGAATCCATTCTCTTTCCTTACCCAGTTCCTAGACATGACTCCATACATCCAAAGCTCCTGAAATAAGGACTGGTGCTGAGTTCGGGTCTGGAATGTCCCTAGAGGCCTGTGTGATTCAGGTCATTCCAGCCTGGTGCTGTGGGAGATGGGAGGAGGCACTGGGTCCTGGGAGAATGTGTCCAGGAAGCACACCAAGGGGCCCTGGTCCCACCCTCTCCCCTCAGTCCCAGCCGTGTGGTGAGCAGCTATGGTCCACCATGCACTCTGTCACAATGTGCTGTCTCACCACAGACCCAAAAGCTGAGGAGCCAACTGACCATGTGCTGAAACCTCTAAACCCAGGAGCCAAATAAATCTTCTCTGTCAGCTGATTATCTCAGGTATTTTGTGACAGACATGGAAGTTGAATAACAGGGGCCACTGCAACATCACAGGCAACCCCAGGGAATCTTCTAAAGGGGCTGATAGAGAACTTAGACTTTTCAAAAATAGTCCTGAGCTAATACTAATTTCTGGTGGTTTTGGATGACACTAAGGAGGAGGATATCAGGTCACAAATAGAGCTATAGCCTATGCCCATCTCACAGTGGCCCACTGACATTCTGAAGCTATCCCATAGTAACTCCCCAGTTCCTGAGTGCCCCACTGACAAGGACATTCCCAGCGATGGCAGAAATGCCACCCGACTTCCTTGACATAATACAGAGGCTTCTGTCATGGGAAAGGTTATCTGGAAATCTCCATAAAACCCTCTCTGCTCCAAAATGATGACTGAACAAAATTTAATATTTCATCCTGGTGCCTAAGAAAATACTATCAATGTAGGAGAGAGATATCTAGTGCATCCCTATTTAACTTGATAGTTGGGCTAGTGTGAAAGACACAGGGCTTGAAGACAGCCTGTTAACTGTCCTGAATTCAGCTGTGGGGATTTTCTCATTACCTATGTGTCTTAGTTACTTTTCTTGCTGCTGAGACAAAATACCTTTGAAGTCCAAAGATAAAGGAGTTGTAGAGGTTTCAGTCCATTGTTGGCTGGCTCCAAGGTAGGGTGGCATGGCAAGGGGTGGTAATCACAGAGGAAAAATAGTCCATAGTGTGGCAAGCAGAAAGCAATGGGCAGCAGGCAGCAAGCAGCAAGCAACAAAGCAGCAGTATCGAGCCTTCCTTTCTCTTTTATCTCATCCCAGCTACCAGCATTTTGGATGGTTCCACTCACACTAAAGTGGGTCTTCCCATTATCCACACAGAACTATGCTAAACCAATTAGTGGACTAATTTAGTTATCACACAGCCTTAATCCACATTCACATACCCTAGATCCAGCCACCTCCATAAAGCTCCACCTATGAGCACATGAGGCTTTGCAGGGACATCTAGACACAAACCACAATACTACATGAGCTCCTTACTGGAGCAAATCTGCTATGCTTCTTAGCACTAGTATAAAGCATCAGCTTAGTGAGGATTGCCTCATTTAGCCAGAAGAGACCATGACCTTTCTATCTTGAAGGACCTCATGCTGCTCTACTGGATCATACAGATGTGGGACATAAATTCAATGAAAACAGAGGGAACAGCTACTTCAATGAAGGCCCCGAGGAAGGCGACAGACATGTCCAGCTGTCTGAGCATCTTGTGCTATCCCCACTGGACCCACAGTGCACCAACTTGGGGTCATCCCATAAGTGAGCTTGAGCAGCACACCCAAAAAGGGAAAACTGCTGCCTCAAAACGTCAAAAGCCCATCCAGCACTGTGTGTATGTGTATATGTGTGAGTGTGTGTGGACAGAGTTATAACTCTCTGGTCCACCCACCCAGGAGGGGTTCTGTCACATGGCTGTCATGTCCTCAGGCCCCACAGTGGATTCTGTGTCTACAGTTCATGTGGTTGCTATGCAGAGTCTACAGCAAGTTCCAGTAGAACTCACACCTGAGGCCCCACTGTGTGAAACATTGTACATCCTGGGCTTTGGTGGGCACAGTCTGACTGGGGAAACCCCAATGCTCTGAGGCCCCCAAGGGGAAGGGGGCATTCTCTAAGCCAGGCAGGTAGCTGTCATCAGGAGGTTTCTATGGGACCATACCCAAGAGGCCCCAGGAGGTGACTGGAGCAGGTGTCTCCCTCCACTTCCCACACAACCAGTGTCTGGAAAAGCACAGACATGACTTGTGTTTACAGGTGGCTTTGCAGGACATACCTGCACAACCAGAAGAGGATAGCTGTGGTGCTCAGCCCTTCTCAAGGGTGCTCCTTGGAGAGGTACACTGGATCATGCCCTGGTGTGCATGCAGTGGTTCCAAGTGGTCAGGACCTAGCAGGACTTAAGCATAGGCTCAGTGGTCTGCGCACTTCTCTGACTCCCAGAGAAGGTGGGGAATATATATATATATATATATATATATATATATATATATATATATATATGAAAGGTAGTCCTCCCATGGGAATGCTTCCACAAAGGACGCTCCCTGTCAGTAGTTGGCAAGGTGAATACTCAGGGACGTCCAGCAGCTCCACCAGGCCACAGTCTCCCTCTCCCATGAGCTCCTGAGGCCAGCAAGGGCATCTCAGATGCTGCCCAGCTGCCTTTGCACCTGGTGACCTGCTGCCTCCACCACTGTGAAGGAGGAAAAACCAAGGTTCTGGGCTCACCCTTTACAAACACACACTTGTGTAATAAAATCCTCACCTAAATGGTGTGGAATGATCACTGCGTCTTTCAAAGGAGAAAATAAAAATCAAAGTGGTAAAGTGGTTGTCACAAGACTATACAATTCTTCATGATGGGATTGCAATTCTAACGGTTTCTGTGCACTTCTAGCCACAGATAAGACCTCAAGCCCTCCTGCTCTGCCCTCCCTAGCCTAAGTTCCTGGAGGGCCACCTGCCCTACTGATCACGCACACCAGCTACCTGGGTGAGCGCGAACTCCCAGGCTGTCCTTCCACGCAGTGGAGGGAGTGGCAGAGGCCAGGACTCTTGAAGGTCTGGCTCGGGCTCTCCTGGCACCTTGTTGCTGGGTCCTGAGCTCCCAGGGCCAGACAGCGCTGGCTTACCCTCTAAGAGGGGCCGAGGAGAGCAGGCCCTGTCCTAGCGGTTCGCTTCACACAGGGCTTCCTCCCTGGCCGGTCCTGCGGTGGCTTCTTCACAACTTGAGCACATCCCCATCCCGCTCCCTGGGGAGCCGCCCACCTTGAGGTCCCAGCAGAGCGCCCCGCCTGGGCATGGGCACCCCTAGAAGACATTCAAAGCCCCTTCAGGCACCATCCCAGTCCCGCTCCCCCGGGTCCTTCAGGCCCGGTGACTGCAGCGGGCACCTCCTGGGTGCGCCGAGCCAGGCAAGCGTTTTCCCCGAGTCCGCGGTCCCCCGCGAAGGAGGCTGCGGCGCCCCGTGTCTTCCTAGGTCCCAGGGCCCTACCTTGAAGAAGCCGCGCAGGAAATGCAAGACGCGGAGCATGCTGCCTCTCTCGCGCCTAGACCGAGCCCAGCCGGAGCCCAGCGCCGCCCGCCCTGAAGCCCCGCCCGCCGGCCAGCCCTTCCCAGAACCCGCGGGACGCCACGCCCCCCCGCGACGCCCCATCTCGGAAGCTTCAGAACCGACTCAGGCGCCCTGCCTTCTGGCCCAGCTTCACTTGCCAGCGTGAGAACTCTCAGAGCTCCGTCTGCGTAATGTCTTTACTGGCCAGCAAGGAAGTGGGGCCCAGGAGGCTGTTCTCCTGCCTGCCTCCCTCACCTGGTGAAGGTGACAACAGATGAGAATCCCTGCGATTGAATTTTCTTTTCAGGACTGAGGCTTGAAGCAGAGTGAGGACCAGAGAGCCCAGGCCAGAAGGTACAACCAAGGGATAGGTAGAGCAAGCTGCAAAAACCATCAGCCTGCTGAGATTTAGGCATCCATGCTTCTGCCCAAAGTCACAGACCTAGTGTCGCATTAGGCAGAGTGAGGACCTCAGCTCAGGCTGGCCTGTGCTCTACACTGTGGACTGCCTTTGTAGGGGCATGGTGCACAAGCTGTCTTCCTGGCCCAGCTGAGGGTCCGGGCTGACACTACTCAACTTGAGCCCTGAGTCTACAGGAGAAGGGATGCAGGGTCCTCCTCCTCCCCTTGGCTCTTACGCTGAAGCCAGGCCCTGCGTGGTTGTGGTCCTGCCCCACATCTGCGTGTGTGCAGGGCCAAGGATTCCTTGTGTCAGGACCACAAGGCTCCAAGCAAGGGAAAATGGAAGGTCCCAGAGCACAAGAGCTGGACTCTGTCACACCTCTGAGCCCTGGGGTTCTCGTCTGTGAAATAGGCTGATGATAGCACCAGGTTTCAAGGCGCTCACAGCCTTGATCTTCTGTCAGGATTATACAGCTCCCTCAGCCCTGGTCACTCAGCGAGGGGACCCCCATTTTCATGGGCACTGGGTGGGGTGATGATTTGCCCCTCCCAAAGCTTTGAGGACTGTGGGTGTGGCCAGCACACAACCTGTGACAAGGATGACATGAACAAGGGGAAGATAGGACAGGCAGGTGGCTTTTTCAACAGGTTCTGTGCCCCTCCATGAGGGCACCTGTGGCACCTGCTGAGAGGCCTAGCTGGGTTGCAGGTCTCAAGGACAAGATGTCATCTCTACTCCTTGTTCTGCACACTTGATAGGCATTTCAGATCAACTCAAACTATACACTGATTCATAAGATGTTCCTGTGCGCCTGACATGCGTATGAGTTTCAGGCACAGGAGCAATCTGGTTTGCCTGCCCTCCAAGGCCACTCACAAGTAAATCAGCCAATAGTTTTCTGTTTGCTGATTTATTTGTAAAAGTTCTCTGAGATCGGTCAATGAAATTGAAAATGTAATTAAAATGCTACCAGTAAAGAAAAGCCCAGGCCCTGAAAGATTCACTGTTGAATTGTAGAAGAAATATAGAGAAAATCTAATGCCACTACTCCTCCAACTCTTCAATGAAACTGAAAGGGAAGCAGTACTCCCAAACTCATCCCTGGAAGCAAGCATTATCCTGAGGTTACCAAGCATTACCAAAACCAGAGAAGGATCCAATCAAAAAAGAGAACTACAGGTCAATCTCCATAATAAACATAAATGGAAAAATCCTCAGTAAGATACTTGCAAACAGAATGCAGCAAATCATCAAGATTATACACCATGACCAAGTACAATTCATCCCAAGGATGCAAGAATGGTTCAATATATGCAAATCAATAAATGTAATATACCATATGAACAGAATCTGGAACAAAACTTACATGATCACCTCAATAGACACAGAAAAAGCATTTGACAAGTCCAACACCCATTCATGATAAAAACCTTATAGAAAATTGGAATAGAAGTTTTTATCTCAATCTGATTTAAAAGGCACCTCTGACAAACCAACAGCCATCATACTAAATGGACAAAAACCAAAAGATTTCACTCCAAAATCAGGAATAAGACAAGGATGTCTGCTATCACCACTCTTACTCAATTTAGTTCTGGAAATATCCAGAACAATTAGACAGGGGAAAAAATAAAAAGGATAAGGCCAGCAAAGAAACAAGTTAAATTATCATTATTCACAGATGACATGATACTCTACATAGGAGACCCCAAAAGCTCCACTGAAAGACTTGTAGATTTAACAACCAAATTCAGTCGTGTAGCTGGATATAAAGTCAACACTCAAGACTCAATAATATTCCTGTACACAAATAACAAACTCACTGGGAGAGAAATTAGGGAAACAACACCTTTCACAATAGCATAAAAAAAGGAAATACCCAGAAATCAATCTAATGAAGGAAGTAAAAAAATATCTCTACATTGAAAACCCTTGAAAAGGAGACTAAAGAAGATATCAGATAATGGAAAGATATCCCTTGTTCTTGGGTAGGAAGAGCCAATGTAATGAAAATGACCATACTCCCAAAATTGATATGCAGACTTAATGCAATCCCAATCAAAATACCAATAGCATATCTCACGGAATTTGAGAAAATTCTAACATTCATATGGAACCAGAAGAGATCTAGAATAGCAAAAGCAATCATGGGCAACAAAGGCAAAGCAGGGGGCATCAAAATCCCAGACTTGAAATTATACTACAGAGCTACTGTGATAAAAACAGCATGGTACTGGCAAAAAGCAAAAACAAAACAACACATCAAGTGCCATCCAGGTAAAAAGAGCAGGGGATAGGGAGGGAAAACTGAGATAGGTGATGAGGGAAATCATTTCTGAGTCCTGGGATAAAGACACCCAGTAAAGAAGGTCCTTGTGTGGAGTGGGAAAATGCAATGGCCCTGAGGCCACAGTAAGTTGGGGTGGGCACAAGCCCTGTGGCTGCACCTCAGGGAGCACAGCTGGAAGACAGAGTCAGAGATGGAATTAGGGCAGGGAAAGACAGTTCTCGACAGGGAGAACAGCCTGGAAGCCAGTAGGCTGTGACTGAGGAAACAAAGCTTTGAGACTTACCAGATGGCCCAGCAAAGAGGCCAGCTGGGACAAAAGTGGCTGCAGAGGCTGGGAGCAAGATCCCAAGTACACCCAACAGGGAGCACTGATAGATGGGGTGTGAGCCTTCTGGAGAGGGAGGAACCCAGTTTTTTGCCTGACTCAGTAGAGGATGATGGTACAGTTAGATGGCAGGAACCCTAGGAAGGCATCATCTGGACCAAGAGGAGGAACAGGAACGAGATTTTAAACATGGAAGATTTGGGGTTCCAGACTCCTCTGGATCTTCTTGGGGAATTTAGAGGACACAAGAGCAGGGGACCCGCCCTCACAGAACTGCAGTCCAGCCTATGTGAGGGTGGGGTAGAGGATCTACCCATGGACAGCTACTCTTTCATGACTGAGGCTCTTGGGCACAGGATGGGCCTGTGTGATGGACACATTTACCCTGAGGCCCCAGAGCACCTGTCTGCCAGATGGGGGAGCAGGTGAAGGGCAGAGTCCCTGTCCCAAGCCCTTACAGCCAGTGAATGCTGACATCGGTGGCATTCTTACTCCTGGACTTAGGAGTCAAGTCTTTCATGAGGCCCCAGATGTGTTACTTGACAAGACTTCAGAACTTAAGGCCCTTAGCAAACTGTGTAGGCTGAGTGGGGGCCACCATAGGTGCAGGGAAGGGATGACGCTAGAAAGACACTTGAAACTTGCTCCTATATGAAAGCAGATACCTGTGCAAGCTCCTTAGCCCCATGCATGGTAGATAGAGGCCTGGAGCAGCTACAGCTGGGTCCTGAGGTTTCCATGCAGACCTCCCAGGCCCCACTGTGCAAGTCACTCCTGCCCATCTGGTGGGTAGTGCTTCCTGAGGATGCCTGCTGTGACTGTGTTCCAGGACTCTGTGTTAACAGGCACCCCTCAACCTATCCCCAAACCCGAGAAAGCTCAGTCCTCTTGCACATAGCATGCACACATGAGTAAACACGTGCGCTGAGCAGCGCACTCAGCATGTCCAGATCTCTATAAGTGACAGTTCTGCAGCTGGGCTTGTCCTAAATAAAGCCTCCTGGGCATCCCTGGGTGCACAACAGCTGTGGTCCTGACACTGAGGGCCTTTACTCAGCCTATAGGTAGCCAGTCAAACACCTTCTATTAAAGGACCTACCACAGCCCCCTTCCTGGACAAGAGGTCACATTTCAGAGAATAGGAACTGTAACTGGTTCCCTCACTCAAGGTACAATTCCAGGCTTGGGGGCCTTAGGCAAGAGACCTGGTCACATCACCATAGACTGGTGGCCCAGCGGGCCCCTGCATGGAAGGGGAGATGCTTCCCTGAGGGCTGGGAGGCAAAGCCAGGGTAGAAGACTTGGCTCTGGTGGGATGACTGCAAGGAGGGTGAAGTTGGGGCATTGTGAGCTCCCAGAAGTGGAGGTTTTAACAACAATATGACCAGCTGAGTGTATGAATGAGCAAACCTATCCCACCTCCCCACAAGCCTGAGAAAATCTCAAACAAGCCTTTGTGTGCTCCTTGAGGTCATGACTCATGAAGCGTGTTCCTCAGAGGGTAAAGAATGGCATCCACAGAGCCTCTGGCTAGCAGCAGATTGTTTATCACAAAGGAAAAGAAAAGAAAATGGCATGAAAAGGAAGAAAGGAAGGGATAGAAAAGGAAAAAAGAGCCAACAGAGTATTTGGGAACAATGGGACCTTCTTCTCCATTTTGTTGCTGGAACTCATCAGCCCTGAGCAGAGTGGGGGTGTGTTCCCAGAAACCCCAGTACCTCTGGGCCCCAAGCTGGTCTTTCTTGCAGTAGCTCCATCCCTGGGGTTAGTGCTGTGGAAGAGGGGCCGGCAGGGGTGAGGGAAAGTGTCCCAGAGGACTGAGCCAGGGGCCATGTGTCTCGGGATACTACTCACTGGGTAGACTCCCAAAAGAGACAGAGTTGGAGAAGTAGAGTCTGCTGGACCCTCACCTTCGGTCCTGCTCCTCCGTGGAAGGCCTCCAAGGCCCTTCTTCCTACTCTCCCTGTGGGTCCCAGACA